CATTCTGTTTCACTGTATGGTTATAGTGAGCCAAGAAAATGAATACAGACAATTAAGTACGCCTTTGTTACAGTAACAAATATGTCTGTCAGCACAGTTAAAGCTGCTGCGAGCCTGTTCTGTGCAAACACAATCAACACATGCACAATCTTTGGCATTTCAGAACTGTGCCATAGATTTCTATTTAGGATTCAGCGACATTTGCAATCCTTATACTGTCTCTGGTTAATCTAAAATTCAGAGTTAGAGCAGCTTATGAGTTTCACGTCTGTAGTTTGAACAGTGAAAAGGCAGCGTGAGTATTGGTGGCTGCGCAACCAGTCAGAAGAAGCAATAAAGCAGTGCCGTGTTTCTCTGCTGATTCGCCTCGGTTGATACTGAAGATCATTTTGTTTACTTACTCTTTGAAGTAATTGGTTGTTTACACAGGAAAATGAATGCTGGGGCATCATAGCATTGCTAAAAGCATCTCTCATAATCCATGTGATCTCCCACAGAGGCCCACCTTTGAGCCTGGCCCCACTGACTGAACCACTGCTGCCGGCAGGCCAAAATCACTGTTTCTACTTATAAACTGTATTACCATTTTCTGCCTGCAGCCTGAGCTGAGGAAACCTGACATCACTGCACGGAAACAAGTGTGTGTGTGTGTGTGTACAGGTGTGATTAGCACGCTGACTCTGGCTGAGGGCCTTTCACACCTCAGGTGAACCAATTACCATATTGCATCAACCTATCAGCTCCTGTCAGATAGTCGGGACACCTGCGGGCTCAAACACTGGAGTTAGTCACAGTGGTTTAAAGCTATCTGACCCGCATCTGTCAGCTCTAATACTGAAACCCACCTTGCCTTTTTTTGTTTTTTACAAAGAGAAAAAAACAGACTTTTCTAGAAAGGCGATGAAATTAGTTTCTATTTTTCCTCTCTGAATCCTGAGGATTTGAAATTGTCCAAAAAGATTTGCTGTGCTTTCAAATGTCCGACGGGGGTTTCCCAAACCGTCACGCTCTTTGTCACTTTTGGAAAATGTCACAGTCGCTTCAACCCGCCCGAAGTTTGTTTCCACACCTGCTTGTAAACAACCAGCGAGGAGCGTCCTTCACTCTGCTCTTCCAAGACAAGTTTGCATGATGAGATTCACGAAACTGACTGAATCTCTCATCTCAGCGATTTAGAGATAACCTCGTGTTACGATACAAAGAGATAAAATACATATCTCTGAAAATGTGGCAGGTAAGAGTCCTGACATTTTTCCCAGCATGAAACAGAATATTGGATGTGACATTACCAGGTTTCTTTACATACACTATGCTATTCGTTTATGGAAGACAACAATGGATAGGTAGGGAGTACATGA